AGGAACTACTATTCTATTTTCCGTGCATGCATAAGCAGTAGTTTGTAATTAGAGTTCTCAGTTGCAAGTGTGAGCCTGAGGAGTCTCCTGAGTGGCCAGGCCCCGAACTGCTGGGCTCCACCCACAGAATATTCTAACTACCCTAACTGCTAGACTCTGCCTCCACCCTACAGAGTAAAAAAATCCAATCTCTGGACATGAAAACCCACCAATCTCCACCCTGGAATGTTACACCCTCTTCCCAAGAAACTTTAAATAAGCCCTCTATCCTGCTCAGTTTGCTGCTGTTTCTTGTCTGAGCAGAGGCAGCCATCCTCCTGTTTTTTATTTTTTCTCTCCTAATAAATCTCTTGTGTGAGGTTTGTTGTGTGGTGTGCCTTTGTGGTATTCCTTGGCTCCCAGCTGTCAAGATATCTTTCCAAACTTTTCATCCAAGCTGTAGTGTGCCGAGGGTCATGGCAGTATACAGCTCTGTGACAACTAGTGTTTGACAAGTCAACACACCAGATGTATAAACGCTAATGGGGAACCCCACCTGGCAAAGCTGTGGGGTCACTGGCTGTGGAAATCGGTTGTTTTCTGTCTGCAACTTTCCCATGTGCCACTGTTATGCCTCCCTATAAGAACAGCTGTGGAGTGCTTTCCACAGTCCTGTGGTAGTGTGTTTTACATCTCTGGGCACACATTTAGCTGTGGATTTCTGTTTAAGCTGTATAATTCTGATGAACAGAAATATTACCAGAATATTCTTCTTTACTGACACAGGAAAGTAGCAGTATTCTCAGTCTCAAAGACAGCCTTTCACACATTTTTCAAAGATCTTAGAACTAGTCCAATACAGGCTAACCTGCCCCTACAGAATATACACAAAGACTAACTCCCAGGTGTTGTTTATTGCTAAATCAAGGCCAGGCTGTTTACATCAAGACATGGTCCTTGCAATAGCTCCCTTTCTGCTCATACCCTGACCGCTCAAATGTCAGCCAATTGTTTAATATCTGGGACCCCTCACCGACTTAGAACTGGGTGCATGGGTCACTGTGATTTATCTGTGTTGTGAGAATGGGGAGGGCCCTGAAAATGTAACTTCTAATTGTCCAGAGTTTGGTCATGGAGCAGCAGCAGTAGTACAGAAAGAGATGGCCGTGTAGAGCTATGTGACAGCTGCTGCAGAATGTGAGTGAAGTGTGTGTGTGTGTGTGTGTGTGTGTGTGTGTGTGTGTGTGTGTGTGCTGAGTGAGAGATGAAGAAGGAGGAGGAGAGGCATGAGAGAAATATGAGGGAGTGAGGGGTGAGAGAGGGAGTGAGTAAAGAGGGAGTGAATAATCTAGAAGTATGTGTGTGGAAGAGCTGCTGTTACATAGCGGAGCTCTACCTAGGAACTGTGAAAAGCGCTGTATGGTAAGAGATCTATGTCAATGAAATGTTTAGCTGTGGCTGTGTGCAGATGTGTAACTGTGTGGAGACAAGAAAGATAAAGCTATATAGAAAAGATATGTAGCTGGGCGGTGGTGGCGCAAGCCTTTAATCCCAGCACTCGGGAGGCAGAGGCAGACGGATCTCTGTGAGTTCGAGGCCAGCCTGGTCTACAAAGCGAGTTCCAGGAAAGGCACAAAGCTACACAGAGAAACCCTGGTTCGAAAAAACCAAA